GAATCTGGCGGATTTTCCAGATTCGCTTCTCGCCATGCCCTTGGAGACTTGGCTGCGCAAAATACTAGTTACGGCAGCTCGTTATCTAACGGCTATGCGCATACGAATGATTCCACAACCAACGGAAGCAGCGCGTCACCGAGGGAAGGAAGCTTTTCGCAAGTTCGTGAATCAGCTGATCTTCCGGGAATGTCTGTAGGTGAGGGAGAGTCAATGACTTGTTGTCATGTTCATTACCGATATCTCTAGACGGTACGATACCCAGCTTGACAGTACGCGACCAACCGGATCGTCCTTTTCGAGCTATCTTCCAAGATTTTTCCGGGTGTCGGATTCTGAACACGGAAACGGTACTTTGAATGTCCTCTCAACTTTTTGCTTCCATCTTGACTTTTTTCAGCTGTTGCAACTTGCGACGCGCTTGTCATATTGTAAAGCCAATTATCTGTTTGTCAATTTCGAAGTGCGCACCACAGATCGTTACCAGTTACCATATACCAACCGTGACCTTTTCCATATGATGCAAGTGTGCGAGGAATTGTTTGTAACGGTGCGTTTTTTGCTCCTTTTTGGTTTTTCTTATTGTTTTTTTTTTGTGGACAAAATAAATGGTATCAGTTAATTCAACGGGATTGGCGGCTGGAAGGTGACGCTTGCACCGCGACGCATCTGCCTTTCCTAGCCTCGATAAAGCCTTGAGGCCCCGTTTTCCAGCCGCCAATCCTATTGAATCAAGGGGATTTTTTTGCTTTATTTATATCAGAGATAAGAATAATTTCGTTTTGCAGTTGGTGCCCTCTATAGACACTCAGTCAAATTACATCGAAGCCGGTGCTGCACGTGAGATAATTGAACATTTCCTGGATGATTTCCCTCTTAGCAAAACTGCACATTTTGGACCAAATTTGTCCAGCATACTTATTGCTAACAGGAAAGGTAAGAAAAACACTTCTTCCTCGTTTCTATCTACTGAAGACTAACTTTTTTAGTGCTTGCGAGCATCCAGCGACGTGTACCGAGAATTTTCTTATCCTCTCATGTAGACGAGAAGAATGCTGCATTGGTAGGTTTGAATCTTTTTTGATGTGCGACCTTGAGAAAAACGTGTGTTCATGCAGCTTTCGTCCATTCCCACTTATGTAACACTATGCATTGAAGGAAGTTATCCATTTGATGCAGATAAACTGCTGTCGCCAAGAGTTTCGATTGTTTTGAGATTCTCTACAGGTATTTGTTATCATCTATCGGTGCATTTATCGCTTCCATTACTCAAGTTTTTATCCTAGTGCATATTTTTTGTAGAGTTTCGGCTCTTTGTTCTAAAAAATTAAAGTTCCAGCTGCACAGAACCGTTTTAGGAGATGACGGTTACTTATGCGCTGCTCCTGATTCTACGGCTAAGAAGGCTATGTTGGCTGCAAGGCTGGGTGAAAACTGCAATGTACTAG